TTGTGACTTCACTGTACTGCGTGATGATGTCATTGTCACCTCACAGTACTGCGTGATGAGTCATTGTCATTACTGCGTGATGATGTCATTGTCACCTTGTACTGCATGATGAAGTCATTGTCACCTCACAAGTACTGCGTGATGAAGTCATTTGTCAAGTCATTGCGTGACATTTCACTCACTGTACTGCGTGATGAAGTCATTGTCACCTCACTGTACTGCGTGATGAAGTCATTGTGACTTCACTGTGATGAAGGCATTGTGACTCACTGTACTGATGATGTCATTGTCACTTCACTGTACTGCGTGATGAAGTCATTGTAACCTGCACTGTACGGCATTGTGTGATGAAGTCATTGTGACTTCACTGTACTGTGTGATGAAGTCATTGTACTGCGTGATGAAGTCATTGTCACCAATACACTGATGAAGTCATTCATCACCAGTCATTATTGTCACTTCACAATACTGCGATGAAACCTCACACTGCGTGATATCACTGTCATCGATTACTCGTCATGACTGTGTGATGAAGTCAGTATCACTCATCGACACTAGCTATATTACTCTTGTCGACATTAATATTCACCGATTATTAAATGTACGAAACACATCAAAACGGATAAATATCTGAAGTTATCCTCCGGAATTTTGCTTCGACTAGTTGAGCAAATAACACTTAAAGCCTCATCCAAGATGATAATACACGCCCTGTGACCTCGACATCGTTAAAAGCCCAGATCCCTCATAACGGCGATTACAGAATTTCAATGTCAGTCCAAGCTGAACACGCTCTTCACAGATCTGCCTATACCGCGAGTGATCAGCAATCTTTTATTGCAGGAATGTATTAAAGTGAATGTATGTGTACACGGCCGGATGCTATCTGCCAGTCATCGTACACCCTCTTTCAGGCTTCTACGCATCTGTCCCAGTACCTCGGTGTCGGTGTAGACTTCCATAGGTCTCTCAAGAAATGGTTAATAGTGTAGATCATAATTCCTAGCTGATATAAATAGGCTAGTGTCGTTGCTTCATCGGCGTATGTAAAGCGTTTTGGCTCATGCTTAGTGGATTGAGACAGGGAATCTTAAGCAGATCGTTGTCATTGTGAAAGTATCAATAACCGGTACTTGTGGCGCCGTGATGTACGTAAACAGGAGCACAAAAAGACGTGGTATCATTAGGACTTATCTTTTATTATTGGGAGAGGAGGGAAGATGGAATGGAGAGGGGTGAGAGGGTGGGGAATGGGGAGAGGGAGAGGAGCTCTTTGGTCGTAGAACTGCATTTTATCGACCCTTCCGCATTGAATGTTCTAGTTTTAATGGGTTCCCCAATACATGCCACATCTTTATGACCACCTCCTCCATATATTTAAGTGCCTATATACTCCCCCCAAGCGATAATTTAAAGGAAAATATTCAGTGTCATTTTGGCATGCATCCATCTTCTCTCTATCTTTGTGGTAATATTTGGTGACCCACTTTTTTGCTTCATACATTTGCTTCCCACTACTGCTACCCCACACTTAGACTGGATATATGCAATTTTGATAGTAGCAAATAAAACCATTTAAATTGAAAAGGAGCCCCAGTGAAATGGGAAACTCAGAATCTAGACTTGCTTGATTTAGGGCTTTAACATTGCAGGGAGGGCTGGGCAGTAGGAAAAATAATGTGGTTCAAGGACTGTGAGACGGACTATTACTGACTATTGGATTTAAGTTCCCACAAATGCAAACAGTATGGCCTTATGAACATATCGGATGCCTTGCAACACATTGTTGGGGTTCAGCTGAATGAAGATTTCATAGACAGACAATGTATTTCTGGAACCCGTTGCCGAGTGGATCATATGCGTGTTACCGGACAAACTGAGAATATCCGAATCCGTGTTACAGGTTCTGCCGAAGACTTTCCAGTGGTGTGAATGTGTGTTATCACCTCTCTGCCCTGAACGCCGGATCAGGAGTGAGGTGCGAAACGCCCTCACACTGACACGCTATCAGGTGGCATCACAGGCCACGACACGCATGATTGAGCCTTCACGTAACTGGCAGTGATGGTCACTGCACGCGCAGTGAAGCCTTCGTCACGTCACAGGCAACAAAGGTCACAGCAGTTCAGAAGTCGTTTAGAAATCCTCAGACCGCAAATAGCTGTTACAGTGTCGGATATTTCAACCCTAGGACCGATAACACCACAGATATGTAATGGACGCATGTCCACAATTGGAGATGACTTAAAGGATGCCTGTATACAGCAAGTATTGAATACAATACAAAGTCTGTATACAATTGCAGATGACGTAAAACACACTTGTGTGCAATAGCAGATGACGTAAAACACACTTGTATGCAATAGCAGATGACGTAAAACATACTTGTATGCAATAGCAGATGACGTAAAACACACTTGTATGCAAAAACAGATGACATAAAACACACTTGTATACAATAGCAGATGACGTGAAAACACACTTGTATGCAATAGCAGATGACGTAAAGCACATATGAATACAATAGCAGATGACGTAATGCACATGTGGATACTTTAGCAGATGCCGTAAAGCACATTTGGATACTGTAGAAGATGACGTAAAGCACGTATGGATACTATAGCAGATGACGCAAAGTACATCTGGGCACTATAGCCGATAACCTAAAGCACATCTGGATACGATAACAGATGACGTTAAGCACTCGTGGGTACTATAGCCGATAACACAAAGCACTTTGGATACGATAACAGATGACAAAAAGAACATATGGATACTATAGCAGATGACGCAAAGTACATCTGGGCACTATAGCCGATAACCTAAAGCGCATCTGGATACGAACACAGATGACGTTAAGCTCATGACGCTGCTATAGCCGATAACCTAAAGCACATCTGGATATGATAACAGATGACATAAAGCACATGTGGGTACTATAGCTGATAACCCAAAGCACATCTGGATACGATAACAGATGACATAAAGCACATGTGGGTACTATAGCTGATAACCTAAAGCACATCTGGATACGATAACAGGTGACGCATAGCATACAATAACAAATAACGTATAGGATATATGTTTGCAATAGCCGATAGCCCGAAGGAAACTTGTGTACAGATCATGCTTTTAGTATATCTGGATACAAAGTAGCTGAGGGTTCAACGGTTCAGAACACCTGTATACAACATCAGATCATCTTAAGAACACCTTTATACAACATCAGATCATCTTAAGAACATCTGCATATAACAGGATATCATTAACAAAGGCTACAACTTTATGGATGACAATTTCTTGTATATTATATATGTTATCCACAAATGTGTAACCTTTTTTGATTGACCAACTTCTGGAATGCCTATAAAAAATGGGGTATTAGGTTTAGGGCGCTTGCGTGAAAAAGCAGATCATTATATAACACCTGTATGCAATAGCAGACAACTGTAAGAATATGATATATACTATATATTATATACTATACTGTATATACTATAAACGTACATCGAGGACTACCACATTCAATAACGGATACACCAATACATCCCTATTCAAAAACAGATACAACCAAGTACATCCACCTTCAATAACAGATACAACCAAGTACATCCACATTCAATAACAGATACAACCAAGTACATCCACCTTCAATAACAGATACAACCAAGTACATCCACATTCAATAACAGATACAACCAAGTACATCCACATTCAATAACAGATACAACCAAGTACATCCACATTCAATAACAGATACAACCAAGTACATCCACCTTCAATAACATATACAACCAAGTACATCCACATTCAATAACAGATACAACCAAGTACATCCACATTCAATAACAGATACAACCAAGTACATCCACATTCAATAACAGATACAACCAAGTACATCCACATTCAATAACATATACAACCAAGTACATCCACCTTCAATAACAGATACAACCAAGTACATCCACATTCAATAACAGATACAACCACGGAAATCCACCTTCAATACATCCAGTACATCCACATTCAATAACAGATACAACCAAGTACATCCACCTTCAATAACAGATACAACCAAGTACATCCACCTTCAATAACAGATACGACATCCACATTCAATAACAGATACAGATACAACCTTCAATAACAGATACAACCAAGTACATCCACCTTCAATAACAGATACAACCACGGACATCCACCTTCAATAACAGATACAACCACGGACATCCACCTTCAATAACAGATACAACCACGGACATCCACATTCAATGACAGATACAACCACGGACATCCCCATTCAATAACAGATACAACTACGGACATCCCCATTCAATAACAGATACAACCACGGACATCCCCATTCAGTAACAGATACAACCAAGTACATCCACATTCAGTAACAGATACAACCAAGGACACACATATACAATACCTGACACCCATGTAAAAAACAGATACAATCAAGGACACCCACATGAAATAACAGATACAACAAAGGACACCTATTTACAATAAGAGATGCAAGCAAGGATGCAATGACAGATACAACCGTATAGGCCAAATTCAGAAGACAGAGGTCATCATATCAACATTTTAAAACGTCTATGCAGCTATATCAATACAGATGCAGTTGCCAGACCCGGAATAAGAAGGGGAAGCCTTGTGAATAATGAGTTTTCTCGTCCCATAAAACTGTCCTCGATTTCACCATCTCTGCCGTGACTGTGCCTCGAACACTGCAAACAAGGGCGTAACCCATTTCATGACGCACCCACGCACTCAGAGACATGTATGGATGGTGTTTGCACGGAGGAATCGATAGATATATTACAATCAATAAAGGTCAGCAGATGATGCACGATTGCATCGGCAAGAGCAGTGCCACTGCTTTGTGACTTGGATATGTCATGAAAACATCTAGCAGGAACAGCACAATTGATACCTCCCTCTGATTCAGGAACAATTACGACACTGAAAACATGTAATTTACCACCTACCTGTGACATTGAGGCCAGCCATTTTCTGGAACTGTCGAATGGCGTCCTTGAACGAGGCCTCTGTCCGTAATGCTCCCGTCTTGGGATCTTGGGGCACGAGGTATCCATATTTAATGAGGTAGTCCTGAAAATGAAAATGGTAGTTTATTAATGACCAGCGAATTTGAATATTTACGACAAATATACTGTGTATTTATAATGTACTCCTTTAGAAGGACATCACAACACAATATACTGTGTGTCACAATGTATTCATATACTACAACTTTACGACAAATATACTGTGTATTTATAATGTACTCCTTTAGAAGGACATCACAACACAATATACTGTGTGTCACAATGTATTCATATACCACAACTCTACGACAAATATACTGTGTATTTATAATGTACTCCTTTAGAAGGATATCACAACACAATATACTGTGTGTCACAATGTATTCATATACCACAACTCTACGACAAATATACTGTGTATTTATAATGTACTCCTTTAGAAGGACATCACAACACAATATACTGTGTGTCACAATGTATTCATATACCACAACTTTACGACAAACATACAGTGTATTTATAATGAACTCCTTTAGAAGGACATCACAACACAATATACTGTGTGTCACAATGTAGTCATATACCACAACTTTGCGATACAACATACAGTGTATTCATAATGTACTTATTTACCCGACATCACAACTCATCATGTGATTTTATACTGCAAATATACTCTTACATCCCCAACATATCCATTGATATACCATGACGTATTCTATACGTATACACAAGCAATACCATGACGTATTCTATACGTATACACAAATAATACAATGACGTACTCTATACGTATACACAAGCAATACCATGACGTACTCTATATGTATCCACAAGCAATACAATGACGTATTCAATACGTATACACAAATAATACCATTACGTACTCTATACGTATACACAAGCAACACCGTGACGTACTCTATACGTATACACAAGCAATACCATGACGTACTCTATACGTATACACAAGCAATACCATGACGTACTCTATACGTATACACACGCAATACCATGACGTATTCTATACGTATACACAAGCAATACAATGACGTACTCTATACGTATACACAAACAATACCATGGCATTGTGTACACACTGCACGGCATATTCAGATATCGCCTCCTTCAGAAAGGACATTGACAAAACAATAGTATCAGCATTAACGATGGATAAGTGCGTCTTTGATATACACTCCTCTTTTGCCGTTGCCCCCAGTCGTTACTGTATAAGTTCCATACACAAAGACTTATAGACGCATATAGACCATATCTGTAAAAGACAATGACGTCAGAATGTCTTTTACTTATATAAGAGCAGTTATCTCAGTGTTGTACCGCAGTGTGTGTTGATAGTAAATGCTCCATCGAGAGCCAGATCGATCCCTAAGACTGCTATTTTGTAAACGATGAATTATTACTGAGTCAATAGATTATCTGTTGTGGTAGAGGCTCTCAGCTGCTCGTCCTAATGGAAGGTAGCTGTACATGGCCATCTGCCAGTCTTCAGGATCTCACTGTGTACACACGAGTTGGGGATCGATCCCCACAACAACTCTCCGGTTACTTCAATATTTATGATAAATATACACCTATAATTGGAGATTGACGTATATTGTCCATCAAAGTTGACAGATTGATAGAAGATGGGTGCGTTGGTTCAGTCTGGCTGGACGGCCGTCATTGAGTTGGTCAGAGATACCAGATCTAAGAATCGCTAATTGGGGTTTACTCTTAAAACTTAGGGTTGCTGATGGATTATGTACTCTCCTCGGACATGCTCTAAATTAGTACATATCTACACCGGGGACAGTAGTAATAATATACTACCCATATAAAGGTTAGACTCAGTTAAAGCACTCACTTTATGTTATGTATATATGTATGGTTACATACTAGATGCTAGATGTCATGTTAGCGTTTCCATCATGCGCGACTTGACACAGTCGTGGGGCGGAAGGGTAGCTTAGTGGTTAAAGCGTTGGCTCGTCACGCCGAAGACCCGGGTTCGAATCCCCACATGGGTACAATGTGTGAAGCCCATTTCTGGTGTTCCCCGCCGTGATGTTGCTGGAATATTGCTAAAAGCGGCGTAAAACCAAACTCAGTCAGTGACACAGTCGTGGTTGTTTGTTTGATGTCCAACGCCGTACATATATATTACATCGAAGATGAATTTCTCCACTAACCTGGGGGAACCCTACTGCAAACCTTATGCAGATGAAGTGCACGAGGATCATGCATTAAATGGCTGAAAAGCATGTGCAAATATCATGCATGTGAACAGCTGCGTTGTGATGTAAAGCTTTGTTAAGAATTCGCCAATTTTCATTGAGTTTCATCATTTACTGAACGCATGACAATAATCTTTTCAACGTTACGAATTTGTTTTACAATACATCAGTTTATGTGTAAACAGTACCTTTAAACAGGATGGAATATTTTACAAAATCTAGTTTAGAACAGTTGACTGAAGTAAGAGGCTACATTTACACTAGTGAGTCTAAACGTTTGATGGCTCGTATAATAATAAGGACATTTGTAATGCGCTGAATTCCGCACCACGGAGGGGCACGCTAAAGGTGCTACAATCTGATTATTATTACCCCAGATAACCCAAGCTTCCTGCGAGGCGCTAGAAGGTTAATATATTATGATTATTATTTTTACACATTAAAGATGAAAATGCAGCAGAGAGGGTTCGGGTGATCCTGGCACAGTCAGGCTTGTAAGGCTCATCATCAGCTCAGGGCCCTCACCCCCTCTACACGCAGCCCAGGCAGCGAATGGGACTTCTCCCAGGAAACGCTGCCTAGTCGAACCCACCAAGAACTTTCCGGAGAATATGAAGGCTCCCCAACACTGCAGCCTTCTGCATTACCCAGAGTGTCATATTATATCGGAACTTATATAGCGCTATACTCCACCACATACGCATGTTCAAAGCCCTTTGTTATTTCTTTCGAATGATTGGATCTCAATCTCAACGGCACGTCGTATTTTTTACTCTTAAGTGCCTGGGCATCATACAACTCGTGCAGCCACTTGGGGCACACAGTTCATGTGACTTTCCCATCCTTACGAGGTACCCATTCACAGCTGGGTGGACTGGGACACATAGTCACAGTACTTTGTCCAAGTTTTAATAGTCACATGTCTTATCCCACCGGGTACCCATTTTCTGATGGGTCACAGTACTGAACGTCCTTTATAGTAGTATATATAACTATGTGCTGTATTATCAGGGAGCACATAGATGTGGGGACTAGAGAGGATAGATGTCACTAGGCATGACAATACCGAGACACGGGGTGGCAGGGTGGTTATGATACTGTGTTTGTTGGTTGTTTATCGGCCTGCTACAATATTGCCGCCATAATACAAAGGCATATAAATAATCCATTGCCTGCTATTAAAACCACGGTGTGGTGACATGCAGTCATGGTTCCTGACCATCCGATTGATTTGGTGTCGGGGAGCTATTTCAAACCGGAATCCCCAAGGGCCGGCTCTGATAGTAATAATAATACTAGGAATTTATATAGCGCTTAATCCAACCAGGGCTGATGCAGAGGTCATGGTTATGATCAAAGTGAGTGTTGGCTGGTGATGGTGGATGATGATCATGAGAGCTGGTGATCCTGATGGTGGCGATGATGATTATTATTATTATATGGGTATAGATATAGCGCTATAGTCCATCCCACATGCTTGCTCAAAGCGCTTCTTTGTTTTTCCCTCGATCATTGGATGTCAATCTCAGCGGCACATCGTATTACCAATCCCAACTCCCTGGGGAGCTACAACTCTTGCGGCCACTAGGCGCACCGAGTTAATGTGGCTTTCCCATCCTTACGAGGTACCCATTCACAGCTGGGTGGACTGGGACATATTGTCACAGTACTTTGTCCAAGATAACTGCATGTTGCTGTACCTTCAACTAGGTGTTTGCACGTATTCATGTGGCAACCACCATGATGATGATGATGATGATGACGACGACGACGACAGTGATGGTGATGACGATGGTGATGAACGACGATGATGATGATGATGATGATGACGACGACGACGATGATGGTGACGACGACGACGACGATGATGATGACGACGACGACGATGATGACGACGACGACGACGACGATGATGATGATGATGCGAGGGAGGGGGTGTGAGTGATAGCAGGATAGATATGATGGTGTAGTTGATGATCGTTTGGGTGGCATTTCTCCAACATTTCCATCTTGTCTATAAAACATGCTCTGTGAACATACGACATGTTTCTGTTGGCTGGATCTACTGTGTCTGTCTCTCCGTGTTCAGGCTTACAATGAGTACCCTCCGTGAAACTGAGAAGCTGTCGCTTATCAATTAGCTGTAATAAAACTAAATATAACGTACTGGAGACAGACCATAAAGCCGTATTTAGCAGACAAGTACAGAGAAATGAGCCGATATTGTTACACAGAGCCGGAACGACTGTAGAGCAGAGCCTATAGCGTGCAGCCAAATTGTCCCAAGAGAGAGTGAGTGAGTGAGTGAGTGAGTGAGTGAGTGAGTGAGTGAGTGAGTGAGTGAGTGAGTGAGTGAGTGAGTGAGTGAGTGAGTGAGTGAGTGAGTGAGTGAGTGAGTGAGTGAGTGAGTTTAATGACACACTCAGCATTATCTGGACTACCCCACAACCTAGGGTCAAACAAACCAGGGATCGATAATGTGCCAATCGACCGATTACTCAATAAATCAGCCAGGTCAAAGATGAGACTTACATTCCCTGGTGGCCTTTCTCTTAAAGTGGAAGTGAGCCTGTGCTTGTGGTGACACTTGGCCCGGATGAAAGTATACAAGGCAAACGTTCTAATCCCACGTGTGTGAGTGAGTTGACTTTTACGCCGCTTTTAGCAATATTCCAACAATACCAGGGCCGGGGACACCATAAACAGGCTTCACACATTGTACCCATGTGGGGAATCAGACCCGGGTCTTCGGCGTGACGAGGGAACGCTTTAACCACTGGGCTACCCCACCGCCCCCGGGCTATAAAGGGCTATGGCGTCCAGCCTATTG